AGGGAAGGTATCTTACATCATTATAGGCGGGTGTATAGCGACTGCGGAAGCAGGAAATGAGCGCCATCTTGGCACACTCGGTGGGAGGGGTAATCTAGCGCAGGCTTCAAGGGCTGCAGCAGGCCTCACCCAATGGTACCTAGGAGTTTTGGTTCTGAAGCTGCGATTCGCGGCATGGGCTCTCTACAATACAACAAGCTGGTGCACTTCGGGACACGTGGGTTATTGTCCAACTGTTCTTGCACCTATAAGACTTTATAAAAGGACACATTTTTGCTAGAGAATCCTTGTTAGCTTCTATAAAAAGTGGCTAAATAATTAAAAACAAAAAATATTATAATGCTTTTCACCTTTGGATTTTTCCATGTTAGCGTTGATATTTTTCATTCAGCAAACATACGGAGTGCATACTGTTAGTGAGATGTTGTCTTGGCGCTAGGGTTACAATAATAAGCAAAATCTCCCCCTGGAGGCCTAATTTCTCTCCTTACTTAGCTGTCTGTGCTCTGCTGTTACAGTTCTCCTTTGCACATGCCACCGATCCTCCTCCCCTCTCCCGCACTCCACCTATCCCATTCGGTGCGCACCGGGTCACACTCATCATGTGGCCAGTCCTCCCATCATGAAGCACACACACGACGCCTGCAGTTTAGAGGCGGAGAGGCTTATTTCGGCTCTCAGTTGCAGTGTGTTCAGTCCATGGATGGCTGCGCCAAGGTGTAAGCCACGCGGTAGCAGAGCCTTCAGAGCAGAGTGGCTCCCATCATAGCCATCAGAAAGTACAAAGGAAAGGGACGAGCTGGGAACAAGGGCACGCCGCCCAAGTGACACACGCAGCAACCTATCCCCTCCAACCTGGCGCTGCCTGCACACCTGAGACTTCACTGATATTTGAGATGTAAACCTTCACGTTTCACCGCCTCTGGACCCAAAGGGCTCGTGTCCATCATGGTGCAAAATGCATTTGGTCCGTCTCTAAGAGGCACCAGCCTTAACAGTCCCAGCACTGGCAAATACCCAAGTCCAAAGTCTCCCCTGAGACTTGAGACAGACTCTGAGTTGTGAGCACTACCACACCCGCGACCGAAAATCACACCTACGAAAATCAAAAAGGAAGTAAAAGTTCCCAACCTAAATAAGCAACTCCATTTCAAAGGGAGGAGTAGGGCAATGGAATGGAATGGGGCCAAAGCAAGACCAAGCTCCAGAAGGGCCCCGTAAACCCCGTAGGTACAGATTCGGCAAGCAGACCCAGCTGTGGTGAGACCGGCCTCCTACAGACTTGAGGGCCCTAAGCACAGCCAGTGCAGTGGCCACTGCACATGGGCTTCTCGAGCTGGCTCTGTTTGCTGTCTGTGGCTTTCTCAGCACACTTTCCACATTCCTGGCATCTCACTCTTCACTGCACCTTGGGGTTCACTCTCACGGCCTTATGCACTTCTCTCTCAGGGGCTCTCTGATGGCTTCCTAGACCTCCTAAAACCTGGGTGCACATCTCCATGATCCCCTAACCCTTGCAGTCTGCATTCCTGAAATCCAGCACCACACAAACCTGCCAAGGCCTGCCGTCAGCTCAGCCAGTAGCCAGTCTCCCTCAGACCACGGCTGGAGAGGCCTCTGATCCTAGATGGCTCAGCACTGTGAGATGAACCCCCCAAAATCAGGTCCCTAGGCAGCCTGCTTGAGAAAGTAGCCAGAGCTCTCTGTTCTCAATAATATTAGGCCAATTATGGGTGTGATCTTACTGATTTCTGAAATAACCTCAAGACAGATTTCTTTTTGTCCCTGTATAAAGTACTTGGTTTGCTTTTAATGCTAGTCTTTTAAGCAGCCCTACTGTCCTTTGCCCCAACCTTTTAGGTGTATTCTTTACAGAGAAACTGCAAATATTTCAAACCATTCAGCTCTGCCATTTGTTTCTGAATCTTACTGTAGATTTGGCTAAAAATAACCAGAGGTACCCAGGCCACAGCTTGAACATGTGGCTAACTTAATCCTCTGCCAGATTAATCAGTCTACTGTTCTCATTCTCAGTTTCTCACAAAGTCTCAGGACATGGGCAAAATGTAGGCGGTTTTTCTGCCAGACCAAACACATGTAGCTTCTAGTCCAGCTGCCAGTGGAGTCTCTATCCCCAGTTGAAACCCCTTGAGCCTGGCCTCCGCTGTCTGCCTTTTTATAAGCTTTCTTGTCTTTAAGCTCTGACCAGTATTACATATTAAACACTGTTTACTCTGTTTACAACATTCGGCCTTCTCTTTGTTTTATGTATTTGGTACAGGGTCTCACTATGCAGCTCACACTCATAAGGATCCTCCTGTTTTCAGCGCCCCAGCACTTGGATTACCAGTGTGCACCACCATGCCCAGTCTCAGTGGCCAGTTCAGCATGCCCATGGGTGGGGCTGGCACAGAAGGTGGTGCCGGGGATCAAACCCCAGTCCCTGCACTTGCCTAAACAGGTGCTTAGTCCACTGAGCTAAGCCCTTAGGCCTTCTCTTGTTGGAACATCCAAGCCTTCTAAACCCTTCCTGCAGAACATTTCCGTGGCCTTCTAAACCATATAGTCAGCTACCGTCACAGCAATGGCCCTACTGCTGGTGGACGTTTCCTGTATTAATCAGCTTCCCTGCTACTTCACTATGTATTCAATTAATAAACCATCATTTGCTAGCCACAATATGCCACACATTGTTTTAGCCACTTGGGGCTCATTAGTGAATAAAATGAATAAAGACGCTGGCCATCCTGGAGCTTCCTTTTGAACTGGCCCTGTGGAAAAAGGTAGGGGGAGATTG